AAAAACATTTACCTTTTGACATTTAAAATTAACTCATTTATCTTTGATTGGGAAGTTTTTGCATGATTTAAACTAATCTCCAAATTATATTCTTTATGCTATATATTCCCATGATTTGTAGGTATAATCACAACATTACTTCAAACACCTTGGTGGTACTAGAGTCGATGGCTGCTCATGGTGTTAGGATTTTGATATATTCTAGTACATGTGCTACATATAGGGAGCCTGAGAAGATGCCAATCACTGAAGAAACCCCACAGGCACGTTGCAAACTTGGTTTTATGCTTGATAACTTTTAAAATTTTTGTTTGAGGCAAAATATTAAAGGATCAACCTTCATCAATTTCTGGATTAATATAGAGTTGTATTACAAGGAAACTGACCTTCGTTTTGTAACCAACTCAGGTTCCAATCAATCCATATGGAAAAGCTAAGAAGATGGCAGAAGATATCATCATGGATTTCTCTAAAAATTCAAACATGGCAGTAATGATCCTAAGGTTTTATTTTACTTTACTTTTAGGAGCTTTGAGTTTACTCCATGTTTTCTTGTCGCAATATGCATAATTTTATCAACTTAGCATCCTAGAAGTCTTCCATGCCTTAAACCAAAACTAAGTATTTTAGATCATTATACTTTCTCATTAGAGGGAGTTAGTTGATAAGTTTTCATTATTCTTCCAGCCAACTGCTGCATATATAAGACATACATGCAAGGTCTACATAGTCCTGTTTTTAGCACAGTCATTTTGTAGTTCTAGATTACAAGGAAACTATAAAAGGTAGCGTAGTTCAGAATAATTTAGGATTGATGAACTTTGTAGACCTTGAAGGGCTTCTACTATCATATTCAATGTGTAGAGTTCTGACCACAATTGTTATAGTCCAACAATATGCTCTATTATTATATATTATTATTGTTATTAAAAACTTGAACATTAAAAGGAATTTGTTGAGGTTATGATTCATATATATTTTTGTGAATTTTAGATACTTCAATGTGATCGGGTCAGATCCTGAAGGAAGATTAGGTGAGGCTCTCAGACCTGAGTAGCGTGAGCATGGACGAATTTCAAGTGCTTGTTTTGATACAGCTCGTGGTATTATTCTTGGTCTCAAGGTATGTTATTCCTTTTATCCCTTCACTATGATTCTTTAATGATTACTACGTATTTCAGCTACACCTGGGGTCAAGATGTAAACAACTAGTCATGTACAGACAATGTAGAGAACACTTCATTATTTTAGGAAGATTGTGAACACCACATATACTTTCTTGAAGGCCATGTGTATATTGCTGATGTGAAATTGGATAATTTTGTGAATGTATTCTCTTCCTAACAATGGGAAGTGCAAAGAAGTATACTGAAGTGCAAATATGCGTTCAATCAAATCATTGATTTTCTATGTGTGAGTATCAAGTAAAGTTCATTAGAATCAAAAGTATATATATGTGATTCTAAAGTTTGAAAGCTACTAGAAAAAATCTATGATAATTTATAATGCCTACATTTTCATCTTTTCCTTGAAACAAGTTTGCTATAGATGATGATTTTGCATAATTGTATGCTTTGTGTATCTAATTTAATTTTCTTTTATGCTGACATCACCTTTGCAAGCATCTGCCTAATACGTTAGGTAGATCTTAGAGCTCATTGAAGATTTGAAAGATTTGGACTGAACTGTGATTATCTATCATTCCACATGTTTAACAATGATGCATTTTCTCGAGTGAAAAAGATTGTGTATATGATAAAATGTGTATTAATTACTACAATTGTACTTTGTATGTCCTTTTTGCATGTTTGTTTTGTTCTTGTAACTTTTATAATGTTATCACACCTGTCACCCAAGATGTCCATTGTTTTGCCTTTATGGTTTCAAATTGATTTTGGTGAACTTTGTTATGGTTATTGTGATTTTTGTATAGGTCATGGGAATGGACTATAAAACACACGACGGGACTTGCATTCGTGATTATATCGACGTTATTGACCTGGTCGATGCTCATGTGAAAGCTCATCAAAACGCAAAGCCCCATAAAGTGGGAATCTACAATATTGGCACCGGAAGAGGTAGATTTGTGAATGAGTTTGTGGAGGCATGTAAGAAAGCCACTGAGGTGAAGATCAAAGTCAAATATCTGCCCCGCCGACCTGGAGATTATACAGAAGTGTTTAGTGATCCAACTAAGATAAGGCGGGAGCTAAATTGGATAGCTCGATTTACGGATCTCCAGGAGAGTTTACAGATTGCATGGAGATGACAAAAGGCGCATCGCGACGGATACACAACAGCCTCTTAGGTGATAATTTATTCTCTTGAGTTGTTCACAGGCATTTTATTTATTATAGCAAATGGCATATCGAAGAGATGAATGATAGTTTCTTCTCTTCATTTTGACATAACATAATCTCGTTATATTTGTATAGGGTTTTGTGGAATCTTATGAGACAAATTTTATTATGTCGTGATATTTTGTATCGACACATATGATTACAATATTTTTTTATAACTTAATGTGAATATATTGTATGCAAATGGATTGCTTATATATAATATGATATATATATATTTATTTAGTATTATGAGGCATTAAATGTGATTTAGTTTGATTATTTGTCAATCTACAATATATATATATATATATATAATTTACGAAATACAATCACGACACAAGAATGTGTGTCATCTTTTTTAATGACGTGTGCTTCAATGACACGCAATGTAAGTCATACATGCGTGTCATAAATTTATGACACATAAATGTGTGTCATCTTCATTTATGATGGGGGCATCAATGACATGCATTGAGCGTCATAAATGCGCGTCATAAATGCACGTCATAGATTTATGACACACAATTGCGCGTCATCAAAAATTCATGTCGGTGGCTTCAACGACAGGCATTTTTGTGTCATCCGCACCCATAGATGACGCGCAATGCGCGTCATTAAAGGGGCTTTTTTCTACTAGTGGTTGTCGTGGCAAATGATGTTGTTGTGGTAAGTGTTGTAAGGTTAAAGTGGATTGTGACCCGTTAGCTATTTGGAGCTAAGAACCAACAATATAAAAAGATGGAATCGAAATGGTAGGGTATGGAACGTGACCCACTAGCTATAGATGAGCTAGGAACCAATGCTATAACAAAAAGAAATGGATGAAGACTACAAGACTATCTTGAAGCCGATAAAGTTCTACAAGAGAACAAGAATGAAAGCAACCTCTCAAAGATGTTTATATATTCAAATGTGTGTCTACAAATGATCCAAAAGGTGCCTATTTATAGTATTTCTAAGAAGCGTATGAAAAGACTCAAAAGATGAAAACATTCTCATCAATTTAGCAATCAAATGCACTTGAATGCTTTGTCTTCTTATCTTCAAAGTTGGATGAATATTCTAGATCATTTTGGGGATGAATCTAGACAATTTGAAGCTGAATTTGGCCTTAATTTCGTCCAAGGGGTGGAAGACTCTTGCTATTTCATGCTGAAAATTGTCTAGATAAGTGAATTAAATCACCCTTCATTGCATGCTCCCTTGAAGAATATGAACAACCCTTGAACTTAGATGATAACAATCAGCTTTGAATGCCTTTAATGGGTGAATTAAGAGTCCTTCAATGGCTTGTCACTTGGCTGAAGTTGAAAAGACTCTCCCTTGGCTCAAACTCATCCAAATCATCCATGCATAAAATTCCTGTAACAAAATTCCAGCCTGCACTGTCTTCAATAAATCGATCATATCTCAAGCTCCCGATATCGGATTAAGGTGATTCAAAAGGTGTTGGAAAGCTAAGAGATAGAGGAATAATGTCCAATTGATTTATAGAACCAAACACATCTGTATCGCATCCAGAATTGGAAGACATTCTGACTACATTCTTGCATATGATGAAACCATTCAACTTCTCTCATGCACCTAGACACAAAGGTGAAATTTATTCAATATTTAATTGAAAAAAATGCATGAAACAATTAAGAGTTAATTTAATAAACGAACTAGTTTGATGAATGAACTACTTCCCTAAATGAAATAGATGATTTAAATGCAATGCATGCTTGAATGAACAACACACTTATTAAATGCAATGAATGTAATGCAAACTTTAAATTCTCATGCAAATTCATTCATAAGAAAAGTAAAGTGTTCCTCCCTTATTATTCCTTCTTCATCACGTTCCAAACGTGATGTAAACATACTCTCCATGGCTGCTTGAAATTCCTTAGCCCTTGCTCGTATGATGGGGCTACTTGGGTACTTCTCCGGGTCTTTTCTATTGGCGATCATATAAAAAAACTCAATGAACTTACCGTCAAAATCAACCATAGATTTTCAATGAAGACATCAGATTCAACCTAGAGTGATTTCATAATGCACTTCTATATCTAAGACAGTTTGATTTGTATTCGGGGACGGAAAAATGGAGCTTGAAATGTTATTATACTTAGCAATATTATGTGTTATCATAAATATCAACGTCCCTACCAGCGAACCGGATTTAAAGATTATTAACAAGAGAAGAAAATGAAGCTCGAAATATTATCATAATTAGCAAAACAAATGGAGCTTGAAATGTTATAATCATAATTTAAAAAAAATCTATAAATTTAACTTTCAAATTTTATAAGATTCTCAATTTATGTGTTTCTTTTAAAATCAATATCAAATTAATATAATACATAAATATTAAAAAATGAATTTATTATTATATCAAACTAAATTATATAAAATTAAGAAAAAAACATTAGCATCAATTATTATTTTTGAAATTAATTTCTCATTTTTCAAAAAAAAAAATCAATTTATCCAACTTTCCAACTTTGCTAAGACATGACTCATACCGAATCTAACGAACCCAGTCCATGCAAACCTCTAACAACGAGGGATAAAGTGAACCCCATTCATAGATCTCAATGGTATAAAAGAAAATCTTTCAAAATCCAATCCTATTTTTCTAATTCTCCTAACTAAATTATAACCCCGCCCCCATAAATCACAACTATAACTTAGATATTTTTCTTCTGTAATCTTCCCATTAATTTTTTCTCTATCTCAGCAGACATGAATTGCCTTCAGAATCTCTCCAGGTATGATAAAAAATTCTATTCTTCAATGATTTTGATATTCCAATGCATTCTTTGTTTCAAATTCCTTTAAAATTTGTTGTTTGGAATAGTTTCAGATCATACGCCGTGCAGTTTCATAGTTTCAAGTGCAATCCAAGAAAACCATTTCCTTGTTCCGTTAACACGATGGTTACATTTTCATTTATTAAATCCTTAACCCTGAATCTGGAGTATAGTTTGACCATTGCATGATATCCATATGTATAGGATTTGTCTTTTTGGTTCTTTGGTTAATGAATTTTGTGATTTAATGCAGGGCGGGGTCATCTTGGGTGATGCGCCTCGGAGTATGGTAGTTAAGGTAACTTAATTACCTGTGGATTTAGGATTCATTTTCTGGGTTTTTCGTTAGAATTTTGCATTAGCTTCACGGATTTGATTTTTATGTAGATTCTTGATATTTGTTTTCTTCATTTTGCTCTATTTCATCCTTTACTCTTTAGTCTTTGTGGATGGATGGTATATATTCATGTATCATGTTTCAGTTGCAAGTTATTATCGGAAGAGTTTTTTTAATTGGAAATGAGAAGTTTACAAAAAGATTGATTCAAGTTATTTGTAAGGGTAATTGGTTCAGCTGCTGTATATGTTCAAGGCTTCTCACACAACAACAACTTCAATAATTAAAAAAATTAGTGCCAATGTCGTAATGTGAGACTAAAATGTGCATGTAATTTAGAACCATGAGATTTGATTATTTTAATTTGCATTTAACATGTAGCATGTGAAACCAAAATGACCTACTTTATTTTTAAATAGGGTATATCATTTGTAATTGTGCCGAAATTTTATTAGGAAGTTTAATAACCTTTTGATATTTTGTAAATGATGATTAATTGCTATTACGAAGAACAAAGTGTCTTTGCGTACAATTTAACTTGTTGCTTGATTGTCTTTTGACCTTGATTTGGTGGTTAACATCTTTTTCGACAGGCAACTTCTGGTTCCACATCAAGTGCAAAGAAGAATGACTCTGAACCAGAGGAGAAAAAATCTGAGATATATAGTCATAATATGACAGAAGCTATGGGTGCCGGTAAGTTCACTTGTGTGGTGCTTTTGCTTTAAGTCTGCAGATGGCTTTAGCTACATATCTTTTTCCAAAGCTCTGACTCATGCTTTTTGATGTGAGGTACCCAAAAAAAAAAAAGGATGCTAAAACATTTAGTTTCTCACATTTAGCAGGGATATCTTTATATGAAATCTCAACATGATAACTAAATATGCTGGTGTTTAATTTAGTGATATCATTGCTTTGGCGATCACTCTATTCTATAATTTGGCTTCTTTCTTTGTTTAGTCATTGTTAATCATTTGTTTTATCTGGTTTCCTGCAGTTTTGACTTATAGGCATGAATTGGGAATGAACTATAACTTTATCCGCCCAGACCTAATTGTGGGTTCATGTCTGCAGGTAATTCTTATTTCATAGTAAATAATAGTAGTAAAACTCTCCTTTAAATGATTACCCAAATTAATATTTTTTTCCTTTCTTTAAATTTACAGATTCCTGAAGACGTTGACAAGTTACGTAAACTTGGAGTGAAAACAATATTTTGCTTGCAGCAAGACCCAGATTTGGAGTATCCTAGACTCTATTTTCATTTAATTTTCATCTACATTTTATGATTTGAAAAATGGGTGCAACTATTTCTCTTACATATTTTCATATGCATGATTATTTTTAGGAAACATTTGGATATAAGACAGACAAGAATTGTTGAACAATTGAGTATTGTGCTTCCTTTACTGTAATTTCCAGATATTTTGGGGTTGACATTGGTGCCATTCAAGATTATGCCAAGGAATGTGGGAATATTGAACACATACGTGCTCGGATAAGGTCAGACGTCACAATTGAAATGATCATTACTCTATACTAAGTTTTTACAGTGAACAACATCATTTGTGAAGTTATATGTGAAACCAGTATTTTGTTGTCATAACAACTTTGATGAATCACCTAATACCTTTGGTCCTTAACTATTTGGAGTCCTTTCTGTTGCTAATATAGTTTGGTCAATATTGGATGAAGCAGGGACTTTGATGCATTTGATTTACGGATGAGGCTTCCTGCTGTGGTTAGTACTTTGTATAAAGCTATAAATAGGAATGGAGGTGTAACTTATATACATTGTACGGCTGGACTTGGAAGAGCTCCTGCTGTTGCGGTATTCTACTTATTTCATTTGTCTGCAATGTCTTTTCCCATCCAGTTTTTAAAGCTAAACCTTGATGAAATGAGCTGTGTTTTGGTTCCTCTAACTTATCTTAATACTGATCTGTAAATTTTTGGTGTTACTAATGACAGATGGCATATATGTTCTGGGTTCAAGGCTATAAACTTAGTGATGCTCACACAGAACTGCTGGTATTTTTGTCTATTTTTCCATTCTTATCATTTTGTTTTTAATAATAATTTAAGTCCTAAACAGGCTCCATTCTTCTACATTAATAAAATCGATTTAGAGTCATTGAAGGGATCAATAATAATTTCGGTGCTTGGTTTTATTTCTTCTATTTTATGGTTGATATCATATCCTTGAATCAATATTCTTAACAACTATGATGTTTCTTAATCAATTTATACATTCAATCATTACTGTGATTGTTTTTGCAATGCCAGCCAAGTGGTCGAGATCCATGTAGGCTATCTTATAGCCTCTCTGATGTTTTTTTCTTTTCTTGTCGTTTAGAGCAAACGCTTTTGCTTCCCTAAATTGGAGGCCATCAAGAATGCAACTGCTGATATTGTGAGTTGTCTTTCTATTACAACCGGCATAATTGTTAATGAACCCATAAAATTTTTGTTTCCTTTCTGGATGATTGAATTTGTTTGTTTATTGTATGAACAGTAGACTGTGTTGTTTGCTACAGATTTTATACAAATGCTGTTCAATTGTGCAGAAAACTTTTTTTAGTTTCTGTTCTTTTTGTAGCGCTAACATATGTTTAATATGTGAACTATGCAAGCCCTTCTCCTGAATTTTTTGTTAGAATTATTGTCCTTTGCAGGCATTAAGGTGTTCACTTTCTCGTAGAGTTTAAGCCATTCATATTATTACGGATGAATATGGTTGCAACTGACCGATTTATATATGCTATTTTGCCTTCCATAGCTCTTTAATACAACCTCCTTTTTGGTGATCTTGGTTGAAATAGATATATATATATATGGATTATAATGGTAACTGAATTCTTGAGGATTATTTGTTTGTTTGTCCTGTACACACAAAGATAGTGACAACTAGAGTTAATGATATAACTATAAATCCATGGGACTTGCACCACACTTTCTCTGTTTAGATTTACCCTTCCCTCTCTCTCCCCCTTTTAGCAGCACATATTGTTAAGGAAAAATATATTATTTGCAGTATATGCAGAAACTAAAATTAAACTAAGAAAACTAGAAAGCCATTTCATTATCTGCTTCATTGAGTTAATGAAAATTGTAGAACCTTCTCTTTTTTGGTGTTTAACACAATATTAATTACAGAATTTTCTAAAGAATAAGATCATTTAGTCTGAAAAACCTTTAAAATTTTGGTGTGTAATACATTGTTAATTGCAGTAGTCATTGCAGCAGGAGCTTCATGATGTCAATTTTTTTTTCATTTGATTTGCTGTATAAGGGTTATATACTGAATGAGAGATTTTTTTTCAAATTCATTTATCATATTTTCTCAATGTAAAGCTCACTGATCTCAAGAAGGAGGTTGTTACTTTGACATGGGAAGACAACAAGTGCTCTGCAGTGGAAGTTTCTGGACTTGATATTGGGTGGGGCCAGGTAACTGTCTACTATTCATTATTAGCACATTGAGGTGCTCAAATTTTCTTGATTTATGTAGTCCCTATGAATTCTAGAAGTCATGGACATTGTTCACGGATGCAAAAACTGCCAATTGCCAGCATCTTTTTAGGGTTTTTTAATATATAGAAATTCTGTTTAGTATCTATTCAGAATATTCTTAACCAATTGACAACACATGCTCTGCAGACGCAGTTGCTCAAACATAGGAACTCTAAGAAGAACAACATTCTCTTTTATCATTATGACCACTTGATGAGTTCGAAACCTGTTCTAAAATGGAAGTAAATTAACTGAAAAAAGATCACAAATATGAAAACTAAGAGAAGGAATAAAGGCGCAATCTAATCCTCAATTAAAGAATGGCCTTTCCTAACATAAATCCACCGGGTAACATAGGCCTGAAGATGCTGGACTGTTGGAAACAAATATTTTTATAGATTTCCTCAGTTGAATATTGTTGATTCCAGGAAAACATATCCACCTCTGCATATTTCTGCTGCTTTAAAACAGATGCATTGGGGTTTCTAGTTTTTTTTCTTTCAGTTGCTAGGGTGAAGGATAGCATTTGTACTAATCATAATTTTTGATGATTTTTTTTCATTTTCTTTTTTCTCTCATGCGTCATCTTTTCTACTTAAATTTATTTATGACCCAACAATTCTTTCTTTGGTTTATTTCACTATCCCTAATGTTAATTGAGGTAATCTACTTTTTTTATGAGATTTATTGTAACTATTTTATAATTACATTTTGTGATGAAAGGTATTTGTTTCGTTAACAAGGGAATATCCGAAAAGGAAAATATTTCACACCAGTGTAAACTGAAATTTACTTTTCCTCACTTTGAACAATATATCATACATAATAGAGAAGTGAGATTTGGATGATTATACTTTGAAGAGGATTCAAATGATCTTGATAAGTTGAATCAAGAACTCTCAAGCTTTTTTTCGTCACTGTACCTCTGAATCTAAATCTTGCATGCCATATGGAACCCAACCAGTTTTGTACATATAAAAACTTATTGGTTTTCTCAAGAATGGACTGAGAATTTTCTTCCAGATTGCCGTTATTTCTTTTGCATTTATCCCTTTTCATGCAAAATTGAAAAAAAGTTTTGATGATAGTTATTCATTCTTTTTAAGATGATACACTACTTAATTTATTCATATTCAGCGTTTTGATGTTTTTTTTTTTATCCAGAGAATGCCTTTGAAGTTTAACGAACAGCTTGGTTCATGGACTCTTAAGAGAGAACTGCCCGTAATCATCTTTTGTTTGCAATACTGCATTTTATCTTTAGAATATAGCGTAAAGTATACAGATGGTCTCCCGACTATAGGACACTGCTTTGTTGAGTCCCCGACTATTAAAAGTTATAAAATGGTCTTCCGATTATAGGTTGTTGCTTTTTTGAGTCCCTCGACTATTAAAAGTTATAAAATGGTCACCCGATAACTTTATGTTCCAAGCTTGATATCAGATTTTATTATATCACAATCAACAGATTAACGTCCAGCTCGGACTGCCGCAAATTTTGTAACATAGAATGACGAGTTTGGAACATATGAATAGTTGGATGATCATTTTGTAACTTTTAATAATCGAATGACTCAACAAAGCAATGACCTATAGTCAATAGACTATTTCGTAACTTTTAATAGTCGTTTTAATAGTTGGGAAACTCAATAAAGAAACGTATCCTATAGTCTGGGAACCATTTATATACTTTTCCCTAGAATATAAAGTACCTTTGAGTATCCTACATTTACTTGCAACTTATTGCACTTCTTTTTATGTTTCTCTTAGCCATGTTATATCCTTTTGAGACTAAAATTTCCACCAAACAATCACTCATGGTTTTAAGATTTGAGATCCGGGTGCATTGACGTTTTGGTTATGCTGAGCCTCCTTATCGGCATCCACTCGTCTTTTGTACCAATTCTTCAATCCTAATTCTCATTTAAGCAATCTAAGTGCTTCATTTATTCATGTGTGGTCTAACACAGACAATAGGAAACATATCATGGACTTTATTTTTCTCTTACTACATTATAAGATAAAAGTTGGTTTTTCCTTTTTTAACAGGAAGGACGCTACGAGTACAAGTATATAGTTGATGGTGAATGGACCTACAATGAATATGAGCTGGTAACAACCCCCAACAAAGATGGCCATGTCAACAATTTTCTTCATGTAAGTTTCTACTTCCCCATACCCATATGGCAGACATGAATGTTGGATATAGCTACTCATAGGAAAATGAATATCATGGTGTAAATAACTAAAACATGATTATATAACCAAATACAACATAGAAAACATGAAATGAATGTATAGATTGCCAAAAGCCAGCTTTGTATAACTTGGTTTCGGAGGTAATCTCCAGAAACTCTGAAGTTTTCTATGAATTTGCTGTCTCTGTTTCATTTGAACCTCGAGTGTTCATCTATCTTCCGGTGCAGGTTGTCGACGGTGATCCAAGCAGTGGTTGTGGAGAAGTTCGGAAGAGGTTGACTAGTGATGATCCTGATCTTACCAAAGAAGAAAGGATGAAAATTAAACAGTTTCTGGAATCCTACCCGGATGAAGAGTAGACTGAATTAAAATACAGAGCAATATTATAGGTGTAAATTTTGTTTGAAATAAGCTTGTATTATAGCAATATGAAACAACTGCTCTCTGGTAGAATTACTACAATAAATAAAAGTGCTTGCTTCAAGCTACATTACCCCAATTCTTTATTTTTAATTATGCTGGACGTAGATGAGAATCCAAACTATACCCTCTTTTTTACTCTAGATGTTTAAACAGATTTTTTTTGGGTCAAAGTACATTTTTAAAGGTACCATTTTAAGATCAATATATCACGACTGTTAAAAGAATCTGTCAACCATTCAAAATATGATAGGTAGTGTGTTTATAAATTTTTAAAAGAATTCAAATTATTAATTAAAAAAACCTCTAAACTTCTCTAAAATTTTAATAAAAATCCTAAAATCCATAATTCCAAATCCTATTATCGACGTCAATCGCCACCATTATCATTGAATGCCCACTCACCTATCGACAGGCCTTACTGTCACACATTCCCTTGTCGTCACCCCAATACCCACAATTTTTAAACATAAATCCATAAATCTTCTTAAATCTCCCTAATTCCAATAAAAATCATAAAATCTATATTTCCATATTCTCTTGTTTCGTACACCCACGTTCTTCCTTATTTCCATTGTCAACTACCGGCATGTATCCATTACAAAACCAGTGTCGCTGCCTTTCTCCTTATTCCTATTACACCGTCGACTGTTGTTCGCCCTATACGATTCACAAAAAAAGGCACTGAATGTGATTGATTTTGGTGGTAACAAATGAGATTTAAGAAGTAGAGATAAAATATTTAGAGATTTAGAGATTTCAGAATTAGAGTTTTATGAATTTTGGTGTGTTTTGTGAAAAATAGAAAAAAAAAGTTTTTTTTAAATATGGATATTATTTTAAAAGAATTTAAAAAATTAAAGAAAATTCAAATTTATGTGAAATGTTACAGCTGTTACGGAATTGACCTTAAATTGATCACTTTGAAGACGTTAAACACTTGTATTGATCAAACATAAAATTTAAAAATTTAAAATAAAAAAATATAATTTAAACATTTATTTTTCAATTAAATATTATGATTTTTTAAATTGTCATATTACCCTGAAATAAAACAACAGAAAACCATTAAAACAGAATAAGTTTTCAAGGATGGATAGCATTGATAACAATTTGTATTTCTTCATAACTCTTGTATTTATTTATTAAATATGTTTTTATAAATATATCTTTAAAATATATTTTACTCACATATTTTAAACTGTTCAAAAGCCTAGTATAACTTTAACCTCTGATTTAGACCGAGTTTTCAATAGGCCTAGTAGAATTTTTACATTTATAAGTGTAAGATTATGTAATTTAGATCTATAAAAATCATTTTCTATTTTTCCTTTTATGTAAATAAGCGTCAGTAAATAATAGTTTATAAGCTTGCATATCAAATAGACCCTCGTAATTACACCCGAATATCTTATCAACTCAATAGAACTATTATTTTAAAATTATAAATAAATAAAAACTAAAAGACAAACACTTAAATATTCCAAAATAAAATTTAGGGTTTGTACTATTTTTCTCTCTTTTTCCTTAGTTGTCGTTAGTTCATTTTCTTCTTCATCTTTGTAATTGATAGCGACATCAGTTTTAGTGTTGATCGCCGACCGTTGATATTCATTGTTTTTCCTTTGATTTATTTTATTTTTTTATTGTTTTTTATTTTTAATAATTATGTCTTTATGACACGTCTTCTTCTGTTTTATGACACGTCTTCTTCTGTCTTTATGTCATATTTTTCTTTACATTTATGGTACATTTTCGGTCGTTTGGCCGTTATTTTCGTTTATCCTTTTTTCAGGGTTGGATTTGACATCGTCACGACTGATCAATATGGTGTTTTTTTGTTATCATGTTGATATTCCCTATTTTAGACACTCGGATTGTACTTGGATATGAGATTTACGTTCATGGATAGTATTTTCACGTCGGACGATTCCGATTTACGAATTGTTGGTGATCTTTCAATAACTCCATCATCTTGTATGGTTTGTTTGCTGATGAGATCAGATTTGTTCGTATTTACCTTTTGTTCAAGTTTATTTGGTTAGGTTTGTTAACCTTTTCTTGGTTAGATTTTTTTAACATTTTCCTTATATGGTTCTTATGTGATCTTAAGTGGCTAGTTTTTCCTTGTTTTGGAAAATATATTTATTAGATGATTAGTTTACAGTTGTGGTTGTAAACTTATGTTACAATGGTCATCTAACACATACTACTTTGCTATTGATTCTTAAATATGCCGACTTGACAACACTTCATTTACTGAAATTATTATTTCTTGAATCATAAAAATAAAAATAATCTAAAAGTAATAGAAAATTGTAACAAAATAAAAATATTATAAAAATTCTTAAAAAAAAGTCTAATAATCGGAAAAATCTAAAGCAAATTATAGAAAATAAATAATAAAATAATATAAAAAGTTTATAAAATTCTTTTAAATTATAAACAATTAAAAATAATTATAAGTTAACAAAATTCTAAAACAATCTTAAAAAATCTTCAAGAAATTATAAAAATACATAATGTCAAAATTTATATGTAATATCTCTGACCCGGTTCGAGAATCAAACCCAAATCGGAGATGTCATATTTCAAAACATAGAATTACAACTCACAAATTTGGCTAAATTTTGAAACTATTAAATGAAGACTCATGTACTTTAATCCATTAAAAATAAGGTATAACGCCAAAATTAGCTCCAAACGTTTATCAAAATATTCATTTTGGTCTCTATTTTTTTTTGAGCATTTTGGTCTCCCAACGCTTATACATTTGCACCCTTAGTGCTCACATGGTAATTTACTAACTTCTTATTCCTGTTTATTTATTAAGATGCACACGTAGTGCCTATACCGTCATTTGTCAAACATTTCTAAAATCTATGTGGTTTGCATACTCATTTCAAAATAAAGATCCATTTCTTTATTATGCAGTTCTTATGCTTATACTCACATTTCCCATATGGAAATTCATACACTTAGTATGAATTCCTTAATAGTTTAGCATACGAAGTACCATGTATGGAATTCATACACTTAGTATGAATTCCTTAACAGTTTAGCACACGAAGTGCCCTATATGGAAATTCATACACTTAGTATGAATTCCTTAACAGTTTAGCACACGAAGTGCCCTATATGGAAATTCATACACTTAGTATGAATTCCTTAATAGTTTAGCACACGAAGTGCCATGTATGGAAATTCATACACTTAGTATGAATTCCTTAACAGTTTAGCACACGAAGTGCCCTATATGGAAATTCATACACTTAGTATGAATTCCTTAACAGTTTAGCACACGAAGTGCCCTATCTGGAAATTCATACACGTAGTATGAATTCCTTAACAATTTAGCACACGAAGTGCCCTATCTGGAAATTCATACACTTAGTTTGAATTCCTTAACAGTTTAGCATATGAAGTGCACTGTATGGAAATTCATACACTTAGTATGAATTCCTTAATAGTTTAGCATACGAAGTGCTCTGTATGGAAATTCATACACTTAGTATGAATTCCTTAACAGTTTAGCACACAAAGTGCCCTATATGGAAATTCATACACTTAGTCATTTAATACTAACTCATAGAAACATGTTATATATATAGATCTTTCTAACATCATTCTCTTCACAATCATTAACGATATCGCCTTGAGCGATGATTTTACTTTGTCACTAAAATCTATAATTTCCATACCCTCTCATCTTTCTGAAATAATCGTCTCTAGAGGCAGACAACTTATATTCAATATGATTTTCACTCATCAATTGATAACTTCATCAAGTTCACCGGGAACATAGCCCCAGAATCTATATCAAATTTTTTTTTACTACTTGTCCAACTCATCTTTGTACCATGAGCCACTAGGGTTTACTCCTATCATCTCACTTGAGATTAATTTAAATAGAATACTTTTATTCTAAAATCTTTCATTTCCTTCTCGAGAAAATTCGTAACTTTCCAGATCTATTTAAAATATTCTCGAGCAATTGAAACATTTTATCGCTCGACTATGAAAGTTTAGTTATCCACCTTATTAAATAATAAGACTTGATAACTTTGTGGCAATAACCTCGTAACAGTTAATGCAAAAATTACATTAGTAACCAAATTTACTCTTAAACAAACTCATAATCACTTGATCCACTAATAATTCATCTTTCTATAGGCTTTTAGCGGTCAATGTATTTACAACTTACTCCTTTCCTATTACTCAAATTATCAACAGTTTGAACAATTTAATGTCTCACTTAAATATTTCTCAATTAATTAAGCTTACCTGAAGAAATTTCGGAATCATCACTCTATTCAAAATCTCCTATGGATCCTTATCTGTTTCAACTTCTCTTGTAAACCATTCAAACTTTTTAATAGATTTCACAAATACAGGGTCATTGTTAAACACTTGGGTATTTCTTCCACAAAATGGAGGAAAATCCCTAGCAGCTTCTATTTTTTTTCCGTCCTGATATTAAAATCATGTCGAATTCTATTGGGTAGATTTTTATCTCGACCTTCTTTTTAATATTATCTACTTTCTTACTTTTGTCCTTAGTTTCCTGACATCTATTAGGACATACATAAAAATAACAATAAAGCTAATAAGGAGTGATATCAATCGCCCTCTAATTGACACCATATTAGTAACTTTGACAATCTTAATGGCATGTAATCCTTTTTACCTTAAAAAACATTCGATTTCGGTCGAGAATCGGCTAAACTTGTAGCTCTGATACTAATAAATGTAACACCCATATTCCGTATACTTTTATGTACACAAAATACAAATGTCACATCACTTAAGAAGCATTTCTTCATTTGAAAACCCTTAAAATTTATTTAAAATATTCTTAATTTAAGCATTTAAGTATAATTATAAAACAATCATTTAACTATAATACCAAAATTCCACATTACATACATTCCAAAGCATTTTTCTTTTAATTCGATTACATGCAAACAATTGTTCAAACTAAACATGACTGTCCTACTATTACTGATGAGGGTCAACCTTAATTGATGATAACCATTGCTAGTGATGCACTCCTTATTTGAGTTCTCTTCTTTTACC